ACAGGACCAAATGGAGATTATAAATGTAGGCTTCTTCAAGAAAGTAAAACATGTGCACATATGCCACGTTTTCTTCATCCATCTGTTCATATACACATAAGCGTATCCACATCTTATAAATTGTAAACCATGTTGTATTAAACATAGGCATATATACTTATTTTGGTATTGTTATTATATATAAAACATGTATATATATATATATATATATATATATATATATATCTAGAAGTCAAATCATATGATAGAGCTATTATTTGTAATCTACTGAGGAACTTTCATACTATTCTTCTTAATGACATACTAGATCACATCATCACTGACAATATATAAAAGGTTCATCTCCACAGTTTTACTATCTTTTCACTACTATTTTTTTTTAATTTTCAAAATTCAACCATAGGTAAGAAGATATCACATTATGAGCTTCATTTCTGCCTTATGATCAATAATTATGGTGGTAAATTTTCATGTATTTCCTAGAGATTTGTAGTTTTCTTTTGAGAAGTGCCTGTGCCTATTCAGATAGCTTGTGAATTTCAGAGAGAAAAAAATGACTTAGATGAGATAATAAGACCAAAGAAAGTGTAACTATTTTATTAAAAGGAGATTTACTTTTTATTTAATGTTTATTTTTATTTGCCTGCCTCAACTTATGTCCACCCGTCCATACAGGAGCACAAGGAAGTCAAGGGCATCAGATTTCCTGAAAGTGGAGTTGCAGACATTTCTGAGCCACTTTATGGGTCCTAAGAACTGAATATAGGTCCACTGCAAGAGTGGAAATGCCTTCAACCCTGGAACCATTTCTCTAGTACCCCAAAGCCTACTTTTTTTTATTTGAGCATTCATTATTCTTTTAACTATTGCTCAGGGCATATCCGGAAAGAGAAGGTGGAAAGAATCATTAAGGGTCAAAATATCGAAAAGTATGCAGTGAAACAGTTTCTTCTAGAAACTGTTGTATAAATGAGACTGGAACAATGGCAGCATCAATGGATATATTAATGTTAAGGGAGGATTTTGAAGTTCACCCCTAGACAAAGCACTACATGCAACTAATGATTGATGATAGAAAGAGGATTAGCCTCTACTCTGGATGAAGCATGTTACTGGTTTTCCAATATCAGAAAAGTGGCCAGTCCTGAAACCAAATGCACACAAACAACAAAAACAGACTCATAAGGATACACACACACACACAAACACACGGGGGGGGGGAGAAAGAGTCACTCATGCATATATGTATTCTCATAACTTAAAAGAAGTTAAACAACTTGGGCTAACAATGCTCTCCACAATAATTGTACCAGGCATAAGAAATATCTTTAAAAATGTTGGATAGGGTAGTTAAGGTAAGTTCCCAAACAAAACAGACTACTGATGTAGCCCTTGACTCAGGGTTGAGGCTGGGCTCCTATTGTTAAAGGGATCAAATACTCAGAACACAGGACTCAGATGATTCAAGCTAGATCTAACATGAAAACCAGTTTTGTGGGGTCTAATTTCCATGGTTCCAGAAAATTTCATGAAAGTTGTCAAGGTAGGGAAACAATTAAACACTCCTACCCAGCTTTGACATCTATGAATCAGGACAATGACCAACAAGGCGATATATACATAAAGGCAAATTAAGTGATACTTGATGTGGGTGGTAACCCACAGTTACGTAATTGGATTTAGAGCCCACTCAACAAGAAGGAAATCATACCTGAAAATCATTCCTGGGAAAAGTGAGGACCCGGAATTAAAAATAAAATTAACTATCACCTCTTTCCTAGACCAACATAATTCCTTACTACATTCTAAATCTTATCCTCATAAGTGTAGCTACACTTCATCAAAAATACCTCTCTGTACAGTGAATGGAGAACATCATTGGAAATCACAACTGAACACAACACTAAGTTGTAATAAGTTTTAAATTATAGTTTCTACATGCTACAGAGCTGATCTTTTCTTTTTCAAGAGGAATAATTTAAGTTAAACTAGTTTTTGTTATAACATTGGTTGTGTTTTTGCACGCATGGAAGATATACAAAATGAAAATTATTTTAAAACACTGGAGAGGACAGAGAGGGAGGAAGGAAAGAAGAAAATATTATTTCCTTGTTTGTAAAGAAGCTAAAAATATGAAGATGCTCTTAATGTGAGTGCCTCTCATGGTGGAAGGAAATCATCATTTACATTTCATGCATTTCAGGGAAATGATCTCATGTCTTCTACAAATTGCCCCCAGAGGAAATGATACGAAAAGTGGTGTATTGCTAGAATTTGGCAATGTGGAAGTTGTAGATTGGTTTGCATCTGGAAGTGACCAAAGGATGAAAAGAAGTAGAAGGAGATTTAGGATTAGGTGCAGTTATTGGAGTAAGAATAAAGGTTCAGTGACTTTACCACTGAAGACATGGATTGGGACTTGTTGAGAAAAAGGGTTCTAGCATGAGTAGTAGTATCAGAAGGGAATGGGAGGTAAAAATGGCAAAAGTTCATAACATAAATGAATAGAACTGTCAAAATGAATAGAACTGTCAAGCAATAAAAAAAATAGATTTTCCTTTGCAGAAAAACAACACCTGTCATGATTCAGGCTAGAAAAGAATCCAAGAAATATTGATGCTATAAGAGAAAAGTCTGAATTCCCAAACCCTCCACAAAGTAAAACCACCATACAGGTTAAGAATTTTATATGAAAAAACTGCATCTGTACTTTTATGTAGTTCAGGCCACAGAATCATTAACATTATCTGAATCACAGGAACTTAATACTGTGTTATCAGAATAGATTTTAAGAAATAAAGTAGGTCATAAAGTTCACATAATTATGCCATAGTTTTCAGAAAAAAAATACAGGGTGTATATCTACAAAAATAAATTCTAATATTCAGTTTTCCTTAAAAGGTAGAAATGCAGTCTGCCAATACTAGCATTTTTACATTCAAAGATTCTCACAGTATTGGACTACTTCTCCTAATGGCTATAGTTTGTTATTATAATATGCTTGGAGCCAGGAATACATGAACCAAAATCAGCATTTGTCTCAATAACACTTTTGCAATAGAGAGAAGATCCACATCAATGAAGTAGAACCAGGCTAATACATTGGGATTGTTTTGGATTCATCAAAAGGAATTTTACTTACTGAAATCTAATGTTTGATAACATTACTGAAAAGTATTTAAATTTGGCTTCTATTAATTACCTTTTTCTATATATCAGATAGTTCATTTAAGTACTACTCTTACTTACTTAAGTGTTGTCAAATGGAATTTTGTAATATCTGAAATATATTTTAACAAAATCTGGGGAAGAAGAATCATTCTTTGAAGCTGAATAGTAGAGGTTTATTAGATCCTGTCTTCTTTCAATATATTTGAACTTCTCCATAGTAGAATGGCAAAATGAAAGACAATAATGCGATTCAGATAATTTTTGCTTGGTATTATATCTTTTACATTATTTAAATACAGAATAGGAAGTTTATAGTACGATTGCTTTATGTTCACACTTCGTAAAACCACAATATTTTTCAAACTTTTACTTTTGATTATCTTACTTGGCTTACTTTTACTGCTATTTGTATTCTTATAAATTTTGGATATGAAACATTGTAAAGGTCTGAAAACTTATACTTACCATACCATTATGTCCCCAAGTATAACTGAAAAGATTCTTTTAAAAAAAAAAGCACACTGAGATTTCATGGCCAAGCAGGTCTACCTATGGAAAAGTTATTCAGTTATTCTTTGAATATGCACAAGAAGGTAAGCATAGGACTTAAATGGGGGTTGTGCCTGTAGATGTGTCACAGACTCCAGGGGACAGAAGTAGGTCCGCTGTATGTGGAAGACATTTGTGAAACTTAGATAAGCTGAGGGGCTATGTGGAAGACAGTTGTGAAACTTGGATAAGCTGAGGGGCCCTTGACAGTAGAGCCATGATACAAACCTGGTACATGATGTAGCTTATTGGAGCCCACTCCCCATGGTGGGAAGCCATGCTCAGTAGCAGTAGGACCACAAATAACCCCCATACATGAGCTAGCTTGTTGGAGCCCATTCCCTATGGTGGGATGCAATGTTCAGCCTTAATGCATGGGAGAGGGGCCTGGCTCTGCCCTAAACTATTATGCCAGACTATGTTGACTCCTCATGGGAGATGTAACCCATGAGGAGAAGTGGACTGGGATGGGGAGAGGTGAAGGGGGGTGAGAGGGAGAACCATGGTTGGAATGTAAAATGAAATTTTTTTTTAAAAAAAAAGTGAGAAGTGAGGAGAAATGAATATAATTGACAACAAGAAACTATGTAGTCTTGGCAAAATAGTTAAAACTAAAGAGGTTCTGTTGAGGAAATGAAATGGTCTGAAGTTCAAGAAAGTGTGCCCATATAGTCTCCTACCCCCTCCACACAGACCACATCCTTTAAAAACTGAAGAAATGTGTATGCTTAAGCAGCCACATTTTCTTACAAGTTCATCTCTCACTTTTTTTCCACATACCATTACTATAGCAGAATATGGTTTTTGAAGGTAATGAAGTTACTTCTTATATGGTTTCACAGGGTCATAGGAAAGATTTCTAAGTGGTTTGAGGGTACCTGAAGCATGAGGCAGGTCATTTATTTATAATTCTATTATTTTCTTCAGCTCTACCAAAGCATCAGATGTTTCAATTTTGAAAATGTTCTTGTATAATTCCTAAGAAGGTCTCTCTGGAACAGCTAAAGTGTATACTTCATAACAGTTTGATTATTTCTGAAGATATTAGGTTTCAAAAGCAGTCTAAGGGTATACACATGATGAGTAGCAAATTACTAGACAAAAAAGTCAGACTTAGATGAGGCCTTAGGTATAACTCATGTTGCTCTTTGAAAAAGGAATCTACCACTCTAGTAGGTTAAAAGAAAGAATAGACCCAAAGAACATAAGCCTATGTATGTGATCCCACTAGCAGTCCTCAAGTCTTCTAGTTTTCTGAAAGAACTGATCACACAATGATATAGAGTCTGAAAATTTCTATTTAATTGGAGACAAACTTTTATTATTGAAATTCATATGATAAATAAAAGCCATAAATAAACTCCAGATATAACATTTCACAGTATCTTGAAGGTAACCCAAAAGGAGGCATAAAAATGAATTTGTGTGGAGTTCCACTGACGAATCTTTACAGAGAGCATGGTTGTTTGTAGGACTAAGAATTCCTCTTCATAACCACCAGCTAATAGGATTTGCTGTTTTATTGCATGACAATGAAAATACATAACCCGCAAAACATTTCATTAAACTAATATAAGCAGTAAAAAGACAATATTAATAGCACAAAATGCTCTGTTTATATTCAAATAATTTGCTTAATTTTGAGCTGAACTTTAAAATCTTTATGAAAGAAATATGAGATGATTTATCTTTAAGTATACACTATCACAATTAAGACTCTTGTATTTGAACAAATAGAATTCAAAATGATAAATAGGAGATCTGAAGAAGGACTTTTCAAAGAGAGTAGAACATCACAAAAGAGGCAACTGCTTAGTAGTAACTGAAATACTATTTCTTTCCTACATTATATTTTTCTCTGGAAGCAGAGAAAGAGAGAGAGAGAGAGAGAGAGAGAGAGAGAGAGAGAGAGAGAGAGAGAGAGAGAGAAAGATTAAATTTTGAGAAAAACCTTGGAAATTTATATCCATGTTCATGGAGATATTTCTTGGAATTTAGCATCCTCATAATGGTAAGCAAAGTAGATTGTCATCTGTAATGCATTATATGACAGGATATTTATAAGACTCTTTAAAGTGTCTTCCCTCCCAGCTCATCTTCCTGAGCCTGCAATCCCTCCATTGAATATAACTACTTCATGTTAATGCCTATTCCTATCATATGAACCTCAGGTGTTTCTTAGCAAATTAATATGAAGTTAACATTAACATTTAGCTCCTTACTGTGAATAAGTTCATCAGAAGGGGAAGGGAATAGAGCAAAATTCAAATGTATTGATGAGGAAGATGAAGAATCAGGAAAACAGATGCTAAATACAAAACTATATGGACATGTCTGAGTAGATAAATAGCACAAAATCATTACACACTTGTCTTTTACCTAGTAATGTAAAAGGACTGCCTAAAAAAGTGAGCTATATACCTTCAACCACTCCAAGATTGCCAATAGTATCCTAGAAATATTTCCCCTTTAAAAGTAGTATGATTATAGTGAAATCAATGTTAGAAAAATTTCAAACAATGATCTCCCAAAGTGACTTTAAGAAGTGTAATCCATGCTACAAAAAATAGTAAGTGTATATAAGAGAGAGTTCTATTCCAAGCACCCACAGTTGTTTCATAGTTCCACGGATGATTACTTGTAATCTCATTACAACACAAACTACATTCAAACAGAAATCACTTTAAACAGACCAAACACAGTTATAATTTTCTTTTGAAAACAAAATGTAACACTTACACTTATTTAATACAACAAGACATATGTACATTACAAGGAATAACTAGGAAATACATAAATATACTGTTGCTAGCAGCACAAAGTCATTTTCCTAATCCAGTATTATTATTATTAAAATGTACAAGCATAATCAATACTTGCTCAGGCAAAACTTTCCAAGTTTTCCAGTAGCATTGATAGTTAAAATTCATATTTAACAAGTTTCCCCCACACATACATAGTATAATTAACTATATGCCTAATACTACCCTATTTTTTGGATATAAAAATATTTCCTTGGTTTCTCTATTTTCTCAATGTAAAGAAGAGTGTGTTCTATTTCCATTTCTTGTTCAAACATTTTAAAAAGTAATGTTATTTATAATGTATATCATGGTTCATACAATTCTAGTCCTTATAGCCACATACCCCAATTTTTCTTGCCAACTAGTACCAAGTAGGTAATAAGCAAAGCTTTTGTTAGGAGTATCTAAGGCTGATGAAATGATCTATACATTTCTCAAAAGTAAAATAATTATTTTCAACAGTTTCTAAGAGGTAATAAGTTTTATATTCATAAAACTTAACTGAAAAAAAATATAGACTTGAAAGTCCACATGAACAGCGTCTTCAAGCCCTGTTCTGGCTTTTGTAGAGGCTATGACAGGCACCACTTTGCTTGGGGAATGAAGGACAGTAGTGATGGTTTCAAGAGACATGCTTTACTTTGGCTCATCTTTTCACTCTGGTCTAAACACTCTTACTTCCATAGACTCAGTAAGTGCAGTAGCCTGTTAGATTTCCCCATTGTAATTCTAAAACATGATGAAAACAATCCCTCTACTATACAAGTTCATACATTTCTGAAGGTGTTCTTTGGAACTAGTTTAAGAGAGCCAGAACTGTGTTTGTCACCTGTTTCCTTTCTCTTAAGCCTAGAGGCCATGTGAGTCATATTATGTTGACTCTAGAAAACTATCTGCCTTGGAAATATTCAATGTAGAATTTTATATAATCACAGAGGATTATTGCGTGTCATGACTGTTTTGTTGTTCTTAGCTTAAACATACCAAAGCATGATTTCATAATTTTGTTCAATGATTTGACAGATGATATTTCATATTGACACTAACCAAAGAAACCAAACATAGGAGTTTCAAATCATGGAGTGGAACATACCTCAGAGATAAAAATCATCCTATTTTTGTAATGTTATGTGTACATAAAGTATTGTCCATCACACTTTAAACATGTTGTTGGAATGCAAATTTTGATCACTACTATCAATAGACAATTGCACTCACTCTAAACATATATTCATCATCTGATCTAAGAAAACTCAGTACTTAGGATGAGCATGAGCTAGTAATCTCTTTGTGACTTAGGTTCACAGATAATGCTGATGACTCTAGCTTAGAGCATATGTGTGTAGAGTGTTATCAAAATTTTACCACTTAAGTCTAAAGACTTGGTCATACATTGTTGCACAGGCTTGTCACCAGCAATGATGATGAAACATAGTATTCTAACTAGGTCCTACCATAAATATGTGAATTCCCTACTCAAGTAATGTAGAGCACATTTAAAAGTTGTGACTACTTTCTGTGAGTACTATCTGGAGTATTGAAAATGTGTTCTTGTAATTCTATTCAAGGCCACATTTAGTTCTGGATTTTATTTAGCATAGGTCAGTTCCCATTGTAGAAGTGGTATTGTTACTCACAATTTTGTATGATTTTGTATGGAGTTGGATGCTCTCAGGCAAATCTTGTCTTGAAAGACGTCTTCTGAACTCATTAGTGGTGAAATAATATATGATTGGGTCAAGGCAGGAATTCAGACTTGCCAGACACAGGGCCACAGAATGAAATATTAGAATTACTCTTCTGGCTAGGCAGCTCTTAATTTCATTGGACTTAACCAGGAAATCTAAAGGAAAACTGAAGTGATAAGGTCCAAAGCAAATTAGAAATACCCCTGCACAGGTCAGAATCATCTTCAGTGCTTTCTTTTTCTCTCCAAGATGTTGAGAAATGGGGTATTTATTTTGTAATGATAAAGCTGTTTTCCAGGTACAGTATATAACAATCATAAGAGGAGTAACAAACCCAACCAACTCTCCAACAGTTATCATGGCAACAGATTGGGTCAGATTGACATTCCTCGTAGGAAGATCCACGAAGCATTTGGTTCTGTTGCCTAGGGTATCGTCATTGGTTCTGAGGAGAGGAAAGAGTAGGCAAGCAAGGCAGATGATCAGCCAGCCAATAATGCTGATATACAAGTCATATTTCTGCTTGCAGTCATTGAAACGAAAGGGGTACATGAGAAACCAAAATCTTCGTACACTGATGCAGACCAAGAAGTAGATGCTTGCATACATGTTAACATATTTCAGATAGAAACAAAACATGCAGAGACCAGGGCCAAATGGCCAGTCATGGTTCAAATAGTAAAAGATCCTCAGTGGCAGAGAAAGAATTTGTAATAAATCAGCAATGGCTAAATTTATCATAAATACTACAGCCCTTTTGGTTTCTTTCATGTAGCCATAAAATACCCACAAGGCTAATATGTTTCCTATGAGACCTGGCACAAGAATAACAGTGTATGTCACTGCATAAATGAAGTACCGAAAATCTATATTGTCTCCATCAGTCTTGTTACATGTATAATTATCAATCATGATTATTTCTAGAGAAATTGTCTTTGGCTAAATAATTGTCATTCAAAATCTAAATACATAAGTAACTGCTGTACTTTCCACAGATAACTGGTAAAAAAGACAGAGTATAAAACAACCTCTTGCCATAATTGTTAGTTTCTACATATGATTTGGGAACTTTAAAAAAAGGGTTGTGTGTTTGTCTTAGACTTGTCAACAATAACTAGAGAAATCTAGTCTGCAAGCACACATAAAACATTGGCAAATTTTTCTTCTCTTGTATATTTTGTAGAAAGGCTTTTTGGACATCTTGGCAGTTGGATATCTTCCATTTGGTTCCGAATTATGTCATGCATCAGCTTCTCAAATTCCCATATGATAATCATCACTTTACAGGTGTTTGGAAGGAAATTTCCGGGGGTTTATTTTTGGCCTGGCTCACACAGAAGAAAGATTTCCTTCAGTGCACTATTCCAGGATGATTTACGTTGGTAGGTCTTGTTTTCTTAGACCCTTTCAGATCTGTATTGAAATTGAAGGACTCGAAAAAATGACAAACCTGAAAGTAAAAAAAAAAAAAAAAACAAAGCTCATTATATGATTATATATGATACTTTTGAAAGAGGAAACCCTGTGTTCCATAGTCAGGCTGTGTCCAGAACAGAATATTTTACAAAAGTCCTCCCCATACTCTAGCTCTCACATTCTTTAGTCTCCTTTTCACCAATATTTCCTGAGCCTCACTGTGTGGATGATATAGATATGTTACTAGTCAGTTATGAGGCTCTGCATTTATTGCTTCCTATTACAAAAGAGGCTTTCCTGACAAAGGTTGAAAACAGCACAGATCTGTGATATACACAAATATTTAGAAGGCATTTTGACAACATGATCATTTAGCAAACAACAAAGTAGATTCCCCTCGAGGACTGCTGGCCTTCCTAGCCAGAGGCTTTTGTTAAGGTTTGCAGTGCATTGTCAAGAATTTTCTCCCAGGAAACAGGCCTCAACCCCAATTAGAATGCAGTTGTTTAGCTCCCCAACATTTGTGCCACTACTTCACCAGTGGGCACATCTTTTTTTGTCAGGTTAGTATTATATATTAGAGTCTCCAGTACTGGAGAGGGGCATTGATGTCTTTTTTCCTCCATAGACCTACAAAAAATCACATGACACAATGAAAGATGGCTATGCAGAAGTACTGTCCCATTGTTGATGGGAGTGCAAACTTGTACAGTTACTATGGAAATCAATATTGTGGTTCCTCACAAAATTTGGAATTGATCTTCCGAAGATTCAGCCATACCACTCCTGGGCCTACACCCAAAGGACACTTCATCATACCACGAGGACACTTGCTCAACTATGTTCATAGCAGCTTTGTTCCTGATAACTACTAACTAAGTACCACCCAAATGTCTCTCAAACTGAGGAATGGATAAAGAAAACATGGTACGTTTACACAACGGAGTATTACTCATGTGTTTAAAAAATGGCATCTTAAAATTTGCAGGTCAGTGGATTGAACAAGAAAAAAACATCCTGAGTAAGACAATCCAGTCCATGAAAGGCAAACTTGTTATATACTCACTTATAAGTTGATATTAGTTGTAAAGTAAAGAACAATCATGCCACAATTCAAAGACTCAGAAAGACCAAGTAACAAGAAGGGCTCTAGAGGGGACATATGGATCTCTCTGGGAAGGGGGAAATACAATATATTTTGCAAGTGGGGATGGAAAACAGAGGAACATGGAGAGAGGGATGGAGGAAGAGAGTACTGCAAGAGACAATCAGAATTGGGGGGGGAGGGACTTGGGGGTGATTTGAAAACTTCCTGAAATCTTTGAAAGTGACTCAAGTGAAGACTCCTAGTAATGGAGGATACAAAGCCTGAACTGGCTATCTTGTACAGTCAGTCAAAGCATTCAGCAGTGGGACAGGGACATCAACCCAGCCACAAAACCTTAGACCTGAAATCTCCCCTGCCTGCAAGATGTGCTGGGGTAATTGTTGTGCAGAACTTGTGGGGATGACCAACCAATGATTGGTCCAACTTGAGGCACATTTTTCTTTGGGGTGTAGCCACTGATGAGGTTGTCCATACTTCAGGGGATGGCCCCACACACATGCACATATAGGCAGCTCTCAATGTACTCAGTGGGTTATTTAAAAACAGGAGAGGATATAAAGTTGGAAAGTGAACATATTGAAGAGGTCTGGAGAAGGAAAGATGGAATGGGACATAGATATGATCAAAATCCATTGTATATAAATAAAAAATAAAGCCTGTGTATAAAAATATATTAGTTTTAATAGAATTTGAGTGAGGATTAATATACTAATGATTTTCAAACTGTTAGTTTTGACTCCTTTGGGGGGTCAAACAACCCTTTCACGGGGGTCATCTAAGACCACCAGAAAACACAGATATTTACATTATGATTCATAACAGTAGTGAAATTACAGCTATGAAGTAGCAGTGAAATAATGCTAAGGTTGGGGGTCACCATAACATGAGGAACTGTATTAAATGGTCTCAGTACTAGGAAGGCTGAGAACCATTGTTCTACAATGTGCACAAAAATAAAAGTAGAAGGACCTTGAAAAGTAATATATTATTTTGTTACTAAAAATCTGAGCCAACAAATATGGGAGCCTCTTAGAAATTCAGAAGAATCTCAGCTCTGCCCTCGGGACCTGCAGAATCAAAATGTGCATTTTAACAATTACATTCAGCTGAGTCTTTGGTAACTCTGATCTCTAGCATGGTTTCATGAACTTAGCAGATCTACAGACTCATGTGAGAAAGACTTCTTCTTTAAAACAACAAAAATTTAACACTACAGCTTTTCAGGTGTTTCCTCCAGAGATTTTGAGTCAATATGTTTTAGGTGAGGCCAGAAATTTGTATTTCAAAAGGCTTTCCATATGATTCTAATGTACTCAGCACTGCATTTGTCCTTGAAGCATCATTTAGGGGCCAGTGACTTTATTCAAATCCTTCCCAGATGTTGGGAAAACAAGTGGGCAAACAGCCCCTCTTTAAATATTTCCATTTACATGGGCCATTTAGTCACCTCTTAATTATCCAAGACAAGAGAGCAGAGCACCAGAACAGAGAATCAAATCCCCCAAAGGCTGACTCAGCTGGGTCCATGACCCTTCTTCTGAGGTAAACAAATTTTAGCTTAGGGACTTGGATAGTTGCCTCAAGGCTGCTGAAATCTAGAAGGATTTAACTAACTTTAAAGATACGTGGGAAGAATAAAAATGAAAAGAGAATTATGAAACATCCTGGTTTGGATTATCAACTCCATGTGGTTTGAAGTGTGCATGATTCAGCCCTTGAAGGAATTATTGTTATTTTGCCTGGTTAGTAAATTTCCGGGTAAGTAAAATATCACGTTTTGTCTAAAAATGTGGATCCCACTTTCTTTAAAAGGTATTTAGTTTGAGGATGTTAAATATTTGACATTTCTCAAATAAGGAAGGTACAGAAACTTGGTATTACAACATTATAACATTTATGTATTAGTCTTAAAGAACACTATTGATAGTCCAATTCTGAAAAGAGATGGTGATTTTGATTCGGCAATAGAGAAATTTAGGAGACAAATAAGGAGTATATGAAGAGATGATAACATTACTAATAACCAGGCTTAATTATAAGCCACTATTGACTATCACTCACACTATTAAGAAGGCCCTTTATAACAATTCAAAAGAAAACAAGTGCTGGTGAAGATGTAGGGAAATGTAATCTTTTCTATCTTAAGAACATAAATTGGTACCACATTGCAAAAGGTGGATTGTGGTTCCTAAAAAATAAAAAATATATCCACCACATGATTCAATATCCCTACTCTGTGTATCTATCTAAATGAAATAAAATCAGTATTTTCAAGAAACCTTTCCCCTCCCATGTTCATTTCAGCATCATTTCTTTGAGAGAACATACAGAATGAATCTATGTAGTCATCAACAATGAGTATATAAAAGACACATTGATGCATGCACACAACTGACTATTATTCAGCATTTGGAAAAAAGGAAATGCTGTCATTTGCAACAAAACTGATTAATCAGGGGGGAAATATGTTAAGCAAGTTATGAAGCCAGGCACAGATACATAGAATAGGAGCTCATGTACATTAAAAATGACAACTATCATGATACCAAACTTGAAGAGTCAGTATAAGAATTTACAGTGCTACAAAAGGACTTTGGGAGCACATTCCCCATGGAGGGATACTCCCTTAACCTAGAGGCAGGAGGGAGGGCCTAGTCACTACTCCAAATGACTTGACAGATTTACATGACCCCTCCTTGAAGGCATCACTCCACTTATGGATTGGGGGGGTGGGATGGGAGAGTGCTCAGGGGACATGGGAGAGTGGGAGAGAGGGAGGGAAGGAGGGAAGGAGGGAGAGGGAACTTGGATCGATATGTAAAATAAGAAAAATAAATAAATGCAATTAATTTTTGAAAGTGAAACTCTTATATAAATACTTTTATTATGAATTCACAATATGAGGTAAAGATTTATTTTATTTCTGTACTTTTACTGCATTCAAATAGCACTTCAAACCATTCCCATGACTTTACTTTTGAATATATCTTTAAGTCCATGAAAATATATCTCATTGATATTGTTTTATAAACATGATTCTTCTCAAGTTTTCTTTTCAAATCTGCAAGATCTTTTTACATGTTATGTGATCACAATGGTATGAGATGTCATTCTGTAAATATGTTTCTCTTATAAAACAAAAGAATTTACAGCGCTAATATGTATAATACATTTAGTACATTGTGAGTATGCAATAAGTACTCAATGAACATTAGTTATTTTAAGTGACTTTTCTGCTAAGGCAGTCTTATTACCACCCATTTTAAAATATGCAACTTTTATCCCAGTTTAGGTCTTCATTACTTAATTTCCTTGTCCATTTTTATTCTTCTCCATTTTACATAAGGTTTTCATTATTTTTTCTAGATTAGCTCTCTAAAGCTATATGTTATCTACAAATCAGAAGCTGTATGGCATGGAAATCAGTCTTTACAACAGTTTCATGTACCTTTGTAAAGATTAATTTTCTGCTATTTTCTAGCAGGCTGAAAACACAATTCTAATGGTCATAATCTTCAGAACGACATCTTTGTTTTCAAAGACAGCAGTGACAGTGATGTTGCCTTAGCCTGCAGCGTCTCTTTGTCTATTTTGTCTTTCTTCTTTCTTTCTTTCTTCCTCCCTTTCCTTCCTTCCTTCTTTCCCTCCTTCCTCCCTCCCTCCTGCTCTCCCTCCCTTCTTCCCTCCCTCCCTCCCTCCTTCCCTCTTTCTTTCTTTCTTTCTTTCCTTTCTCAAGTTTCCTGTTCATCTTGACACATTTTGTGGTTAAAACAACACTGTTATGCTAGCTGCCATCTTCTAATCTCTTTTGTAACTTTTTATAAAACCCAACTTCCTCTTTCATTTGCTAATTATGTGTGCATTATTTATGCTCTTGTCCTCCTGCCCTTTATACCCAACTCCAACTCACCCCAAAATTCCTTGAA